TCTATCTATCTATCTATCTATCTATCTATCTATCTATCTATCTATCTTTTTTTTAATATTGGCTCTGTGTGAACAGAACTAATTAGGAATATAATGAACTGAAATCGATTAGATTAAGCTTGTATTCCAACAAATTGGATTGTGGAGTTAGACTGTACCTTTAAAGTTTACTTTGTGGTGATTGGACGCTTTAGAAATGCAATTAAACTGAACTGAACTGTGTAAAGTTCTGGTTCCGTAAAGCAGAACCTCACTGTGGTCTCATAGAATCTGTAGGATCATCTTACAAAATCAGCACTCAAGTCATTTTAAGACATCTATTCAGTGAAGTCGGCCTTAAAAGTTTTGTGTAGCATCAGATTTTCTTCAGTTGCTGCCAGTGACTTAAGTTTAAACCACAGCATGAAAACAGGGACAATAACAGGTCACATACAGCTGTTACTGCATCTGGACACAACAGCCCTTCATAGCACTCCTAGTTCCTAGCACACAAGTAAGAGGACTGAAATGACCTCCACCAAATCAGTTGTAAATCAGACATTTCTAAGCACATACTGTGCAAATACAAGTCGATTCAGCAGCACTAGGCTTAGAATGAGGAGAATCAGGTTGCTATGTTACCTGCCGGAAAACCTGGCTGGTCTCTGTGGAGCTCTGTGACCAAAGTGGAGTAATAATGAGAGCAACAACTTTAATTTTCTCATCGAGAAAATGAAATATTAGCAAAAGGTTTTAGTTTTGATAAGACTACTTTGAATAAATCAATAATATGAATAAAGTGAAGGATAAAAAGTTAAAAATGGATTTTAAAAAAATAGTGTATAGTAACTAAAACGTTTCCAGCTAAACAACAAAGGAAAATCTGAAGCCACAACATGTTACAACCGGAGTAAAATGTGAACGGTAGGTAAGAAAAATGAATGGTTTCTGTTTCTGCATGTAGCTCACCCAGAGTAATAATGTATGGATGCAGCCAAGGCATTGCCTGATCCCCCAGGAAGGATCCCCAGCGGTGTTTTAATGGCCTCCTCCCAGTCTGACCTCTCCAGCAGGCCATTTATCACCTGGCACACCAAGGAAAACAGAGTTTAGAATATGCGCACAGCTAGAAATCTTTGTGTAGTATCCCGTGCTTTGAGCATTGTCTACAGCCCTTAACATTTTAAGGACAGACAGAAATTAGTGCTCTGAGTTTGTCATTTATCTCTGTATCATCATTTTTGTGTTAATAGGTGGACGGAGTACCTGCATGCTGTTAATTATACCATGATTTCGCCAAATATTCAGAAACAGTCCACTTTTGATACTAAACTTTGATCATTCAAGTACAATTGGCTCTAATTGGAGTGTATTGTCTAGGCACCTTGAGATGAAGCTGGTTTTGATTTAGCAGAAAAAAACACAAAACTGATGTGAACTGATTCGGTCAATCAGAATTGGAACTGGGCCTACTTGTGCATGTACTTACTATATGTCCAAAAGTAAAATCAATTCTGATTAACCTTAAATATACAAAACATATAAATATAAACATATACAATTATATTACACTATATCGTTTTATGATAATTGGACTAAAGAGAATATAATCACTGTAGTGTATTCTATTTATCAACCACGACTTTACTGCACCATATTACCATCATACAATTGTGTGCTGGGATTTGTCTTTCTTACCTCATACAGAAGTCCATCCCCGGACATGATCACTAAAGCGTCCCACTGCGACAGGTCAGCTTCTCTCACAAGTTCCCGGGCGTGATTTTGCCTCTCTGCAAAACACACACACCTGCGTGAGTGTAGCACACCACCATCACCGAGCTTCCCCAGATAAAAGGTTTTAGCTGTCTCTGTTCTCGTTGCTTCTTATACTACAGTCGGAGCCTCTTTGTGTGTGTCTGTGTGTGTGTTTGCATAAAGGCAGTTGTCAGCATTACTGAAAATCCAGAGACAAGACAAAAATGGTGAGAACAGATTTATTATCCTCCAAATATTTCTTCTGCTTTCTTCCTTTTACCTTTAGTTCACGTATTGACTGTGTGAAAAACTGTCTTCTTAAATGAAGCTTTAACTTAAGAAGACTGGGACAACTAAATTATTCAGAAGCTATTTGCCAAATTCCTTTTAGGCTGCCATCTAAGGTAGTGCAGCGCTTGTGACACAGTGCTCGCCGCCTCCTCGGACCTTTTCAAGTTGCTAGGTTTATGTTTATGCATCTTTATCCAAAGCGACTTACAATGCAGATACAACATTACAGTTAAAATCAACCTGACAATAAGAAAGAAGGAAATCAAACTCTGTTAAGAGGCAACAGTTGTGACAGTGTAGAGACAGAGGGAGGTACAAAAAGAATAGTAGAGGGGGTGGCGGGGTACAGGTTAAGAGTTTGGGTAGGAGAAGCTCTCCCTTAAGTACTTTGTATGCATCAGTGACTTGAATTTAATGAGGGAAAGCCAGTGAAACTCAATGAACGGAAGGGCCACGTGGGATTTTTTGATTGAAGACCAGATGCGCCACCACTTTCTGGATCATTTGTAGAGGTTTTAGAGTACAGACTGGACCATAGACTGCACCAGGAGCTGGGCGGCACGTTGAACTAGGTGTAGCCGGCCCTTCCTGCGCCCGCTACTCTCGACTCTGCGTTGTGT